AAAAAACACCAAAAAAAACAACCCCCCCAAAAAAAAACAACAACACAAAATCAAACATGATAAAAATGTAAAGAAGATGTGCATGTATCAGGTTCACCAGCTCCCCAGCCCAGTACGATTCGATCGATAAAATAATGTGTTTCAGTTAGACCTATAGGTTGGGAGACTATCTACATCAAGATAGCAAGGGGCGTTGACGAACCGGAACTCAAAGACACAGGGAGATAATGACAATGACGTTGGTAAACTCGTGTGATTTCTTAATCAGATATTCCATCACAATGGCAAATGGTATCTTTTAGGGCATCGACTCTCTCTCTCTCTCTCTCTCTCTCTCTCTCTCTCTCTCTCTCTCTGTGGTGTGATGTTTTTTATCTTCGCTGTAACAGTTTAACGTTTAGTATAATACGGAGCACCAGTTCATCAGACTCACATCACTCAGTTGTTTACAGTCATAACACATTTAAATATCTACTAAATCTATTTTTTTAATCAACTTATTTATAACTAAACTGTATGTTTACTGCTTGTGTAATTAATTTCTACTCTGTTTGGTATTTCATTTGTGGAAATGGGGTTAAACAGGAGTGGAGTTGTAGGGATGTCTGTGGTGCTGAAAACTTGAATGGTTAAAATGATTGGCTGCGTATGAGCGTCAAGGGGTGGATGTCAACAGAGAAGTCCTTACAGGGAAATCAGACTTACTCTGCTCACTTCTCTTGCTTCAACTGCACAAAGTCTGCTTCGACTATCAAGGCACCCTGGAAATAGCGGGTCACAAAAGTGTGATAAACATACAAAAGAAGTAGAGGGAAAATGACGATAGTAAGGATTAGGAAAGAAAAAGCAGCAGTTCCCTGTTGCAGTTCCGACACAGTTATGAGCATGACATTGATGAATCAGCCCATTTACAATTCTACTGTGCATAAAAACAGGTTAATGTCTCCCCTTTGGGAATGGCCTAAAGACACTTCAGTCAGTAGCACCGCCCCGGGGGGTTGGGGGGTGGGGGGTATGGCCAGGAACAAAGGAGGAACATAGTTACACCCAAGCTTTAAAAAAAATCTTCCAAGACTCAAATTGGGATGTGTCGGAGCGAAGAATTATTTCGAATCTGGTCACAGAAAGTCCAGTTTATTTGGATAGCATTACATACACAGTTGAAGAGGAAAGGTGTACTACAGTCAATTTCTGTAAAATGTAACATGGCTAAAAGACAACTTATAAACCTAAACAACCCCTTACCTCTTCGTCCAGAGGAGGATCTTTGCTCTTAGAATCTCTCGAGCTCGAGCGTTCCGCATCGTTGAAAGACACAGTTTTTTTCTTGCGCAATGGAGCTGTTTTGGCTTCTCCGTTTGGAGGAGATAAAAAGTTTGTAGCACCACCTTCATCATTGTTTTCTCCATTGTCTCCCGTTCTTACGACAGAATGTTCTTTTTCATTGTCCGAAGAAGGTTCCTCGTTTGTTGTAGGAGGGTCGGCGGAGCTGCTGTCCGTGGTGGCGTCGCCCAAGGACACGATCAACTCGTTCACGTCCGCCATGCTAGTTGGTGACGGTGAAGCTTATCCAGACGGCTACGGCAGCCAGCAGGTGCCGTCAGGGATAACATTCCATTATACAATATTCAACAGGCGGAGAAATCAGTGGATGTAGGGGGGAAATCTCTTGGCGTACTGTTCGGACGCTATTTATGCGTGCACTGTCAGAAAAGGTGATAGCTCTGTCGTCATAACAGGGACCAGTGCCCGACGATAGTACTTGACCTACACTTCTTCACCGCTTCCTGATTGACACCAACCGTTTATCAATTACGGTGCAATAGCCTACTATTATATAAATTCTGACTGGTTGGGTTCAATCACACTGTTAGATCACATCTCCACACAGCCTGGGGAAGATAACAGACACAATGTCAGCTGGAGATGTTTTGGTTTTAGTAGAGGTTTTGCAGCGCTCGCAACTGCATAAGGTCATATGAGCGCCAGAAGATCAGAGGTGTTACAAGAGAGTAACAAACATAAAAAAAGAAGGAGGGGAGATAAGGACGATAGATGTTTGATAGAAAAGAAGAAGCAAACCACACCAGAGCACCCGCCAACCACCCACGTCGGCAGGAGAAGACACATCAAAATACATGTACAATTAATCATAATGCATAATGTATTTCATGTGCAGCCAATGAAAGAGAAAAAGTTGTACATCTACAGAGACATGAGTTTAACAAGACAGCAGGTCATATCTTAAATTTGGTTGGTAGCAACCTCTACAGTAACCGTTAAGTCAGTGGTTGTTCTACGTAAAGGTTAAACGCCTTTTTCATCACTTCATCATACACTTAATAATTATTATGTCTAAAACCAAAATACCTTTCACACAAAATGAGGCACAATTTGCAGAACTCTGGGGTGCCTAACAAACAAAAAAACGACATAAAAAGTCCTTCATTGCTCCCAACGGTCGGGAAACAAGAGGCCGGAGAGTGAATACCACCTTGCTTACAACCACACCACAGTTCACTCAAATAAAGACACACGTGGCTTCAAGGCTGACGGACGCCAGCAGAGGGGGATCGACATGGTACGATGGCGTCAACAAGACATCTCACGTCTTTCAATTTACGTAGGAATACAAAGATAGATAGATTTAATCATCACCCCC